ATGCCATCTTACCTTTGACCACCTTCTAGCTAATCTGCCTTGGTATCCACTCTGTTGCTCTAATAGTCTACCTGTTGTTTTTGAGACAAGTGACATGGTCACAGGCCATGTTTGCCTTTCTTGATAGTCTCTATTATGTTCTTTGCTCCAGTCTGTTGGTAAATCCAGGTTTGCTCTTCCTGTGACATAAGAGTAAGACTATTTACAGAGCAGACAAATCATCTAGTAAGTGACTTGTTTCACCCAACAATCATTATGCCCCATATCTCGAAATTGTAATCTACAAAAATTGCATTAAATACAGTTTGACATATTTAGGCTAAAGTATTAGGAGCACACACTGTAGTTCATTTGGTTAGTGTATAGCGGACATGATTTAATGTATTTAGCATACCACCACTATTGATCAATTAATTACTCTCATTGAGTGAAGTATAAATTTGTTCTTGTGTCCAAATTGGCGTAATCTAAACAAAATATTTGCATTATAAACATTATAAATAAGAGTGTTAAGGTTTTACTTATTCTTTTTTTGTTCCTTTTTCTTTATAAATAAAGCAGTTTATCTGCTGTTTACTATAAGAATATTGGTACATTTGGGCTACTCAGACATTTTCTTTTCAGTCATAATAATTCCACTAAGATGCAAAGGGTTACTAAGAGTTAAAGAATTTGAGAAAAACATTATCAAGGAGAGAGGAGAATAAAAGAACACATTTCAAAGAGACAGAAGATGCCAATTCACATTGCTTTTAAATTTTTGAAGATCATAGTTGACAGGAAGTCAAGAAATCTGAAGAGAGTTTCACAACTGAGAAGTGTGAGAGAAGAAACTGTTAGTATAGAACTTATGGTTGCATTGAGTAATAGTGAGACCTACCTGCCAATTTAGTAATGAGCTTGAATTTGTGAAGTCGAAGTACCAAGTCAGAAAGCACAACAGAACAATTACCATAAAAATATTTATATTTCTATAAATATTTTTATGGTAATTGTTTTGATGAGCTTTCTGAAAGATATCTTATGTTGCTGGGACAGTGACTGAAGCCAGGATGCCAGCTCAGGACTGATAACGTTGCAGATTCTTCTTTGGATTTTAAGAATCTCTTGATACATAAACTAGATAAACTGTTTTTACTATGAATTAATACTGAATCATTGAGTATATTTACATTAAAGCAAGCTAAATCAGTTAATTAATAATTATTTCTGTACCTGTATTCCATTTGCTTATATAACACAACTTGGGAAATATATATTACTCATTGAAATGATCTCTACAAGATAAATATGAGAAGTGAAAACTTCAGTGTATTTTAAGAATCTGCAATGTTATCGGTCCTGACCTGGCATCTTGGCTGATCTTCTTCACATGTTGAAGGGTTATAGTGTTTTTGGATAACATTTTGATTTAATACAATGTTTCTTGTCAAATCAGAAAATTAATGTTGTCTTGAATGGCCAGTTTTTTTAGATTTTTTTACATTAATACAGATGCCATCCCAGGCTCTATCATTGGATCTGCTTTGTTCTTTATTTTCATCAATGACCTTCCCAATGTCATCAGTTCCTAACAGTATGCTGATGACACAATTATTTACTCCTGTCTTAATAGTAAATCTGATAGGTTCAATGAAATCAAATTGGCAGCTGATCTTGAAAAAAAAATGTCTATCAATCTGAATTTTGCTTCAATTCAGCATGACTGATACTAAACTCCAGGAGAGTAACTCACTGCATCTTCTTGGTCTCACATTTTCCATTGAGATAAAGTAGAATGACTACATTGAATCAGTTCCTAAGTCTGCTGTTGTTGGTTCACTATGTCATAGTTCTGGTGAGAAGAATTGTTTACTATCTTTCACATTTATAAGTCCATGCATCAAATATTACTGCTACATCTGGTCTGGTGCTTCTGCTATATATCTGGAAATTCTTGATAAACTCCAAAGAAGAATCTGCAATGTTATCGGTCATGATCTGGCAACTCAGCATCAATCACTTTTCTGTCATTATAACATAGCTTCCTTGTGAGTTTTCTGTAAATATTTTCATGGCAATTGTTCTGATGAGCCTTCCTCTTTCGTATCTAGTCTTTATGAATTTAAGCACTAGGTCTCATAATTTCACTGTTGGAATTACTAGATGTAACCATAAGTTCTATGCTAATTTTCTTCTTTCACACTTCTTGCTTGTGGAACTCTTTTCCAGCTTCCTGCTTTCCTGTCAACTTTGATATTGAACAATTTAAATGCACTATCACTTAACATTTTTTTGTCTCTTTGAATCCTGTACTTTCATTGTCCTCTCTATTTCTTTAATTATCAGTAACCCCTTGCATCTTAGTGACTTTATTGCCTTGCTTGGGGTGAAATGTTTACAAAAATAAAAGAAACACATTTTTTTTTCTGTAACAATTTGGTTTTGTTAATACAAAGCTTTTAAAATCATTAGAAACTGTTAGTTCTTTATTGGTCTTGTTATATTAAATTAGTGCAGCAATCTATTAGTGCAAATGTTCTGATTCAGACACATGTATTGTAATTTTGAGGGACATTTGGCTTAAAAGTCTCTAGTGCATTGTACTCTGAGTAAATTGCATGCATTGTGCAGCTGGGGTGTAGTAGCACTAATAGAAGATTTTCTTGTTGCATTTAAAATCTGAAAAATTACCTATTTAATTTTCTCTGAATGAGAATTTGGATAATTTTCTGTTATGTAGATTTATAGAATACTCTGTAAAATTAACTTAAGTGATTTACTTTTAATATATATTTTTTTATATTGACACAGTATCCCAAAAATTAATTTTTAAAAAAGTCTTTTCATGTTAATTTTTTCCTTCTGAAATTTGTGATAAATAGCCTTGTTAATGCAACCTCAAGGCAATGATATATATATATATATATATATATATATATATATATACTTTGTTACTCAATGTTGACTTCAATGTCAACTTTTATATTTACATATTCTCTATCACTGACATTGAGCATTTTAACCGATAAATATAGCATACCTAAAGAACTACATTTTTATCATATATACATATATATATATATATATATATATATATATATATATATATATATATATATATATATTAAATTATATGTTCTGATATGGGGGACTTTGGTGTTTCAGTATTGTTGAGCACTATTTTGCTTTTTAGCATTATGCTCCTTTTGTTGAGGCCCTACTGCTTCCCATACTGTCCACCATTTTCTAAACACACTTTTTTTCTGGTGTTTGTTTTTCCATAGTGATGGAGATACTTTTGGTTTTTCCATCTTGGCTGTAAGGGCATTTCCCCACTCAGTGAGTTTAGTTAGTGTGTGTATATTATATATACCTCAGCTACTCTTGTAACATCTTGAGCTGGTCGAGGGGGTATAAAATACCAATTTTCCAAAATAAACAGTTGCTGACTATCTGATGCTTGTATGAAAATGCATGAAACTTGGTTTTGGTAAATCATTGTTTGGTGGGAAGTTATCTAGAGAACTTTATATATATATATATATATATATATATATATATATATATATATATATATATATAAGGCTCAAACACTAATATTCCCTGGTTATAATTTATTGCATTGCATTGCATTGATTGTGATTATGATTCCAATGTAATAAATTATAAACATGAAATAATAGTGTTTGAGCCGTTTATATTATATTCTTACTCTGTCCTGGACATTGAGTTCTACCTGGATTCTATCCTCTTGGAAAGTTTATATATATATATAATATATATATATATATATATATTTATTAATTTAAAAATATGATTCCAACTCGCGACATAAGAGGTCTCATGTTTCAAAACAAGAGCCGAAAACTTCAATATAATTATTTGAATTAAATTGAATTAAAGTAAGCTCTGTTCCATCTTCAAGCGAAAATTTTTTGGAATAACTTATTTCTGAAATTTATGTGTTTTAATAGTATATTTATAATTGAAATCAAAATTTCCATGGTAACAGCCAGGGCGAATTGTTAGGGGTGTGTTGGGTGTTAATAATAAGTATAGAGTTACTTTCATAGATGTCAAATCAGGGTAAGGTGGGGGTGTCTAAATTTGAAACGGAAGATGTTTTCGCCTAGTCTGGTTTACGTGTCTATGGAGATTTATTTATTTTTTTTTTTAGTATTTTTATGAAAGGGATTTGTGCATATAAAAACTGCCATAACATTTGTTTTTAGATGACTTCATAAAGGGTTATCTTTTTTTGTAGGGTATTTAAACTATTTATTTGGGCTATGGATTATAAAAGTTATTATATTGTATGCTTGTTTTTAGCTAGTTAATTCAGTGCGTAAATTTGATGATGTCAGCAAAAAACCGTTAACTCATGTCTATTGTTTAATAGATTTTTATTATTTAGAAACTTAATAATGTGCAGTTTCTTATGGAGGCACAAAGGGCATGGGTCATCCCAAGCCTTACAAGTTCTAGTCCTATTTATAATTTTCCATTTTATATATTGCACCTTAGCTAAGCAGCTTAGCTAGATGAGTGAAAATTATTAAAGGATTGATTTTAATTTGAACAATTTTAATTTACTCTTGCATATATCACCACAAGCTTGACTGTCAAAAAGAAAAGGAAAAGCATTTGGTTAAAAAAAACAATTACTGTTTTAAAAGAAAAAAATGAATATTTGATTTTGGTACGTTTTTGGAACATCATCTGCTATATAAAGGCTATATGTTCAATAAAGCTGCATAGTGATTTCTGTTAGGTTGAAAGACGTTATTACAATCAAGTTATTTATTGGGAAATTTTGCAAATAATGAAGAGGTTATTCTAGTGGTATTTTTGGATATGGCAGATGTGAAATGAAACTTTTTATGATGGGAGAATACATCGATTAAAATTTAATAAAAATATAAGAATATTAGCACAGAATAATTTTTCTCTACCTCCACAGAAATAAAAAAAAAATGAAAATGCAAGCTTTAAAAATTTAACGCTTTTTTTATTTCCAGCAATGGTGGGGACTGTTGAATTGTGGTTGACTTCTTCTCAAATTTTCCTTTTGCATTGTAACTTTGGAACAGTGGATACTGCTTGAGAATTATTTGCCCTTAAAGAATTTACCAGCAGATGTCCAGAAGTTGATGACTGAAATTAAAGCTAGCCATATTTCACTATGGAAGCTGGTAACCTTGAAAAATTCTTTGGCCCTTACTTATCTGAACGTCAGTGGGGAACTGTACGGGAAGATTATTCTCACAATGGAGACTGGTAAGCAAATCATTTGTATTTTCTTTGTAAGCATCTTTTCATTGAGAAACCTTTTTTTAATGCATAATATTTTACCTATACTAGCCCTTGATCCTTGCAATCACACTGTGTGTAAAATTTAAGTTACAGGACTTGGAGAAATGTAATGGTTTGACATTTGGCTATAATGAAGTTAAGACAGAAGAAACCATGACACAGATTTAGATTCTATTATGAACAAACTTTTTTTCTGATTCAAGCAGTAAATGTACTGCCATCATTATAAAAACTTAAATAAAATTTCAACACAAGACAATTAAAACCAGTGTAGCTAAGATGGGGTAAGTATGGGATGAGATGGCTGTTTTATTATTCATTCATTTGCTTTATTCTGCAAGGTGAATTTCAATTTTTATATTCTCATATCACCATAATTCCAGTGTTTAGAATTTAATAAAATTTTGTTTTATAAGTAAAGTAAAATGGACCCATTCTTTTTTAGTGTTTTTTTTTAGAATGTTTTATTAAAGGGAATATTTCTTTCTAAAAATGTAATATTTATATCTTCTTTTTTTAATCTTTCAGCTGGAGATTTTTCTCCCATGATAAATCTCGTTACACTGTCTATTTACATGGAGAAGATGGTCTCTTGGGGTGGTGTGACTACAAGTCCAAGCTATGTGTGTCTTTGGCACTATGGAATGGCAAAGACAAGATTCTTAAAGAACGATTGTTTGGTCTCACTGGACTGCAGGTGAAAAACTTTTCCAGAAATGAATTTCAAACTGTTTTACCTGTTTGTTGGTAAAATGTGATTAGCCATGAGTGTGTAACTTTTGCCTCTTAATTTTAGATTTGATGAAGTTTTGTTCTCTCTATGTATATTTCTATGTTGACCATTATAATAAAAGTTCTCTCTTTGTCAGAAAAATGGATAGTAAATGCATTTGCATTCTACTAAAATCTAGAATAATGTAAATATGAAAAAATGATTACATTTATGTCATATTTTTGTCGCTACAAAGATCCAAATCTGTACCTGTGTGTATTTATGGTAACTAGATATAGCATTATAAATTGAGTGAGGACCATTTGTCTTTGACTCATGTTACTTTTCTGCTCATTGTTCTCTTTGTATCATCTGGTTGTTTCAGTTTCAGGTGTCTGTGACCTTTATGTTTCAGGCTGACTGTTAGGCAGCATGTAAGAAAATAAAGAAAACTTAAAAGAAAAGCTATGCCTTCTTTTACATGCTTCTTCCTCCTTATTTCAATCATGGCAACTCAGTTTATGAGCATAAAAATAAGTTTGTATTGCTTTTTATTTAGTTGAACTGGGATAACAAAATGTAGGAATCAGCAGCAGTTCATTTTGGTTGGGACAAATATACTTTTAGGTTCTGTCTCTCAAAGTTGTCTGCCCACCTGCCTGCTTATTTTATATGCAAATAGTTTTGTTCTTTTCTTGCTTTCAGGTGCAAATTTCCTAACTTGAGGCTTTACTATTCATCACGATTTTTGGAAGCTTTCACCATCAATGTACTTTTGCTGATACAACATTTTCAACAAGAACCAATGGATTTTTTGAGACCGATTTTATTCTAATATTTAAAGAAATTTTGTTTGTAATGGAAGAAGGAAATTAATTCATGTCTTTTAGGGATTTCAGAATTGGTAATGAATCTTTCCAAATCTGACTGACTCTGAAGAAGTTGCAAATTCATAGTTGTTTTGTCATATGTTATTTTTTTCTGTATTTTCTTAGAGATTATTTTAAGGAGACTTTATTGGTCATAAGATTTTGGACATGTTTAGTCCTTAATTGCAACTTATAGGTAACTTGATGATTGTTTATAATTTAGCCATACATTCTTGGTATTTTATTTTAGTCTTTTTAATAAGAAATTTGTTATGAATACAACTGGCTTAACTTTGAATATTCATGGGTTGTTGGCAATATATTGAGTTTTCTTATGTCTTCAGATATTTTGAATATTTCCATACATGTGTGTGGAATGCATTGGTTTTAGGTGACAGAATGGGAGAATAACAATTAGGGAAATCAAAATGAGAAATGAAGATATGAGAGGCCAAAAAATTACTTTTAAATTTGGAAATATTCCTTTTAGATTGGAAAAGAACTTAAATTACTGTGAGACTAATAAACAAAAAAAAAAGAATGAAAAGATGACTTTTGTAATCACGAGAGGATATGAAATTTCACATTCTCATGAGTATGTCTATACATTTGTGCTGGGCAAAAATCAATTATAAATAAATAAAAAAAAAAACAAACTATTAACAAAATCCAAAAAGGAAAAGAAGAGGATGACAGATTTTTTTCTTTATTGAAATGAATTATCTCTTCATTTTTGATATATAAAAACCTCAAAATAAATGGATGGAGGACACAAAATACTAATATCAACAGGGATATGACATGATCACATTACAGTTCTAAAACAGTTCATCATATTGGCTGTCATATTCATTATTCATATTTGTATAAAAACTAATGTATTGTGAAATGAATTTTTGTTCTTGGCACAAATGACCTGTGTAGCATAGGTCATAATGTTATAAAAGAGTGCTGGCTCTGGTTTGATGTTTAGAAATAAGAATGCAAAATGGTGATTTGTGATGAGATTAAAAATAGAATTAAATCATAAAACATCCAGAGGGATATCTTAAACAATTAGGAGGAAAATGGAAAAAGAAACCGAGAAATAAAGTTAAATTAAACATATAAAATAAAGTTGATGAGGGAACCAGAGAGTTGAACCATTAATGAATTTGGTGAAAAGTCATTAATTTTGGAATTCTGTATAGGTGTTCTTCTCAGGAAGAGGTTACCAAACCTGTTTTTTCTCTGGGACACATTTTGGGAATGAAAATTTGCGTGTGCCTTAACAAATTTTGTGTGATAAAAAGTACATTTAAAAATAAAAAAAAACAACTAATAATGTGTTAAATATAATATATAACACAAATAACTTATAATATGATTAAAGTACACAAATTTAATGAAAGGTGTGAGTTTGTTTTTGACTAGTAATCTTTATATTAGGTCTAATTTGAGATATACAAACTCTCATCTCATCAACACAAAGAAACCTTTCTCTTTTTTGTTTTTGATACTTGTCAGAACTGAATATTCTTATTCACAACAATATGTTGTGGAGAACTGTAGAAGAATGGATAATGCTTTTGAAGAGAAACATAGATATTGTTTCTGGTTGTATATCCAAAGAGAGTCCAGTGGTACATTCTTGTGATCCTTTTTAAGGTGCAATCACTTGAAATGTTTGCCAATTCTTCCTTATCTAATGTCAGATCTAAACTGCTTGAATTTGCAAAAGGATCTCTAACCCAGTTAAATTTTCCTGTAGACAATAGAAAGTAATCAGAGACGGTTAAAGAGAGATAACTGTGGATTCAAAGTCAGAACATTATCATTGATAACTCTCTCCTCCAATTTGCAGAGCCTAGTTACTATATTCTTAATACTTGATATAATGCAAGAATATCACAATTATAAAATCAGTCAATAATTATTTATAAATATTTATGCTTGGACTCATGCATGCAATTACAAGTAATCCATAATAATACTTTAAATTTTGAAATCATATTTATTTGTGGCATATGAATTTTTTGAAACTGGTTCTATATCTTTGATTGTCTTTCAATCATTCTGTCTCACCTGCTATCCTCTTCTTCTAAGGGAAAATATTTACTTGGGTTTCTGAGCTGAAATCTGATCTGAGAGGAATAAATTCTTAATACTATGATTGCTATACTCATAAGTTAATTCTTATTAAAAGTGGATAAATAGTTTTTTGGTGTGCGTATGTTGGGCGGTACCATGTGTATTTGGATAATAGACCCTCTGAGGTGATACAAGCAAAAGTGGAAATTTTTACATACATCAATGTCACACTGGGAAGCAGGTGCTCCAGGGTGATTTTTATATAAAACAGAGAATCATTTAACTTCAGTAGTTACTAGGAGATCTGAAGACAGAGTGCTAAGAAATCCATATTACTCAAAGACAAGAGCAACACATAGTACTTGGTGGATGGAGCAGACACACAAACACAAGTACAGCAGCCACTCTGCAAACTGAGATGTCAGCTACTATTAGAATTGTTGTGGTAGTTATACTGACAATGGAAAAACAAAGACTACTATAATTTGGTGTGAGTGAAAACAAAATCAGAAGGCCTCAAAATACTTTGAAATCACCATTTTGCTATATAGTGTGTAGAAGAGATGAATGATTGCATAATATTCAATAAATTATTGTTAAGTTTTCTGAAGGGTTTACTTGTTTTGAAGAGATCTTTCTCTTTAGTTTTGATGTTTGAGGAACAACTTTGAGATCATGCGAGAAACAAATTACCATGCTCCTTGGAAGAGTTTAATAACTTCTGTGTGGGGGACACAATGGACTACTAGACAATCACTTGAAAAATGGAATTTGCTTCACATTTGAGTGTGAAATGAACTGGAACACCTGATAATGATATATACTCATATGTGGCTTTCTGGACACACTGGACGAGAAAATGACTGGTGACTCTGGAATATTTGGTTGGGCATCATTTTATGTTCAGTTTCAGTAGTCGCAATTGCTTTCTTTGATCAGGCTTTGGGCTTGTTTATAATGTTACTCTTCTTCACCTCTGTAAAAAAAGCATAATTGCAAACTTTCTCTGGCAGATAAATGTCTTTACTAATACATTTCAAAGTCACGTTTCAACAAAATGCACCCATCAGGTTATGCCATACAAGCTTTTTTATAATTAAACATTTGTTTGTTTAAATAAGTGTTATGGTATCTACCTTTATAGACTAAATGGCCTCGTCCTATTACTATATATATACGGGGAGATTATGCCTCTCTCGAGAGCTGTCTACCGCTGACGAGTTGACTACTGTACTTTGCCGTCAGTCGAATGTGCAACACTTTTGTATTCGTTCTTTTTGTTTAATAATATGTTTTCACTAAATTGCTGAGTTCAAGTTTTCTTTCGGACCTCTTCCGGGTCCACAACAATAAGAAATAGAGTAAATGAGCATTTTTCACAAAATCTATATAAAGTGCTATGGTTATTAAATTCAGTATAAAAATATAATGGGAAATTTATATTGCCAATGAATTTCTGAAGACTTTATTTGGTTTACTTTAATAAATTTTCAAAATGGGTAGAAATAATCCTGACAGAGTTATACATTTTCTGAGTGTTTATCATCCACCTTTTTGGAATATTCCAAAATTATGCAAATCAAGTAGTTTTAGCTCATTAAATATTTTAAACAGCTGTTACATGATTGAAAACTAGAATTCTTAGTTTTGGAATAGGTGTATCTTTTTTGGCTTTAGGTTAGGACAAATCACTTTCCTGGGGATGGGCAGAGGTCATTTTGTTACAAGGGTTCATGGGACAATTTTTGAAATGTAAAAAAAATCTTTTTGCAGATATAATTCTTATTAGAAAATGGGTTGCAAATAAACTTTATTGCTAATCTTCTTTCTTTTTTCATAATGCCATATCCTTTTTACAATGTAGCCAATCATGGCTCTCCACAACTTTCTTTTTAATATCTGTAAATTACCATGACTATTCTTGAGAAATGTAGTGGGATCATTTTGAATTCAGAGTTGGCCTTTTTGAGTTTGGTTTTTCTACCCAGGCAATAGAACTCGATATGCTCTACTATTTTATCCATGGCTGGGGGAAGAAGAGATGGATTCAGGCCTTCCCAAAGAGCATTAGTGTAAAATGAATGTAAAATCTTTGGATGGACTTTGAATGGTTACACATTGTCTTTTCAACAATTTTGTTACAGCCCTGTTTTTTTTGTTTGTTTTTTTTTATTCTAGGGTATTCATTTCAATACATATTGATAGAAAATTAAATCAGTATATTTTCCCTTGGGTGAAAATGCAATGGTTTATTAATAAGAAAGTGTCATTTGAGCCTAGAATGATATATTTAAATTCAATTATTGGTTGCCTAATTCCGTTTGTGCTAATGCTCTGAGGTAAGGCATATGAAACAAAACTCTAGCATGCAAGTCTACTCACAATCAAACAGTGAATTTGTTTCAAGTGGAAAATCTGTGAACATTTTGTTTGATCATGTTTTGTAAATGAAGCAAGGCAAGAAGAGAAAAGTTGAATGAGACTTGAGTGTTTTTCTAAAATGTTTGTAATAGTGATCATCATTGTTATTTAGGCTGTATTATAGTAATAATAATGATTTGGTAGGCATTGCATTTTTTTTTCCTAAGACCAACTGAATTTTCATTGAAAATCATTTATAGTCTTTTATATTAAAAATGTGATTTAAGGTTTCTCTCAGGCAAATTCTTATCACAGTTGGTTTGTTTTTGACAAAAGGTGCTGGAGGGTTGAAGCTCCCTATCCACATTTTGCTGAAACAGCAAAATAAACAGAAAAATTTTTTTCTTGGCTTCAATCTATGCTATCATTTCAGTAAAATCATTACTAGCATTATTATTAACATAATTTTTAATTTTTCTTCTATAACATTAGCTTCTAAAACTTTTATGCAGAAAAAATTTATAGAACTCATCTAGAAAATTGGTACAGACAAAGGAATTATATATTTAAAATAACAAAAAATTACAGTAAGATATTAAAAAAATGTTTATGTGAGAATCAGATAAAATGTATAGAATAAGGAATCTTTAAAACTTAATATTTTATTTAGCCCTCCCACCACTTTTAACATCTGATATAACCCCCTTGTTTTGGGGGCCACTATGCTTGCATTGTGGTATAAAATCTTCAGTTTGTTGTAATAAATTTGATGGGTGTTGCTGTTGAATGAAAACCTTAGATGGTGAAGCATTTTTAAAAAAATAATTTAAAGACAAATGTAAAGAAATTTATCCTGAAAATCAATGAATTATTTGTTTGCTTTTTTATAAATACAGAAATGTGATGTTGTAGAATGTCTGTCTTCAGTTGCATTCCTTTGTCTTCAGGGCAACCATGGGGAAGATGTGAAGGAAGTCTACTACTATCTAGACAATGTTGCTGACCACAGCTACATGCGTGCCTTATACCGTTACCCACAGTCAGCTTTCCCTTATAAGAAACTAATCCGAAAAAACAAGGAACGGAAACATACAGATCCTGAATATGAATTAACGGATACTGGTTTGTTGCTTTTCTTTTCGACTTTTTGATTTTTCAGTATTGATCATGAAGAAATTCTATTTATTTTTTAATATAAATCTCTCTAGTTGATTCTTTGCAAGTCTTTCTTACAAGTACTTTGTAGATAATATTATCATTTAAAAATTTGCATGAGGTTAAATTTTGTTCATGTGTCTCCACTTTACATCAGTAGAACAAAATGGCTTGCTTGTTAACACATAACAAATTCTTACTGTCCTTTTATATATATTACTAAGAAATTGTATTTACAACATTAGCAGTAATATTTAATTTGCATAACAATTTTAAAAGCAAATTTAAAATATTTCTGTGTTTTTTATTCAAATTTTAAAAATTGTTGCATAAAAGCAGTAGTTCTGTTGATAAATTTTTATTTTTAAATTAATGTTTGTATAGAAAGAATTTATATCTGCCCTGTCAAAATTAAATCATAAGTAAGAAAACCAACATTCATAATAAGCATGGTTGTCATCTGCTATTTCGCATCACTACAAATTAGTCAAATTGATAAAAAAAATTATCTAATTATCTAAATAATTCAAAATAATTTGTTTAATTAGATTCTTTTAAAATTGCACCAAATTATTTAAAAAAGTGAAAACAGATTAGTGAATTAATTTTTATTATTAATATAAACAGAAAATTATTCAAATATTTTTCTCATTGTCAGCTCTTTGTAGCTATGTTCAGAGTAGGAATTTCAAGTGCACTTAGCATAATGACAAAAAAGAATTTTAGAAAATGTTATTTATACAGAAGTTTTAGAGAGATAACAGAACTTTGACAATTTTTCTTTGTTTGTAGGATAGGTATTTGACTGTTTATCAAAATTCCATTAGGATATAGCAGAAAGCACAAGTAATTTGCCATTCATATTTAGTATTCTCTTTAAAGAGTCTTTATTGTCATCAGGAAGTGTGTCTAGGTAGTTTAGAATGTATAAGATTATTTCATTAATATTACTCAGTTTAGTTATATATAATTAATACAAATATAAAGTTTGTCACTTAGGTGATTGGTGTTACCTTCATCATCCTGACTTCAGAGTTTCATAGACAGACCCTCCAGCAATCACTCCGTCTACTCATCAGGGGGTATCAGCAATTGATTGTTTATATTTCTTGTTTTTTCATATATGCACTTTTCATTGGTACAAGGTTGATTTTTAATTTTTTTTCCTTTCATATTGTGTATGTGCATGCATACATGGGAGCATTCATGCACCCGCCTGTGTTACATGTAGAATGTTGTGATTATTTCCCCTTTTTGTTGTATTAATTGATTCTCTCCTTGTAGGTTTTATACTTTTTTTTAGTTGTATTATGCTAATATGAAGTATCAAAACTGATAGTATACATACATACATACATACATACATACATATATATACATATGGTGGACTCTCCCATCATATTCGATGTATGAGGGGCAAGCAGCTCAGTTCCTAGGAACAGATAGCACGTAAGTAAATGTAATGGATTCGACTGGAATTCAAACTTGGCTCTTTGATTCCTCAATCTGGGCTGCTATCCATTATTCCACCTTTCCTCCAGTTAAATCCATTACAATCACTTACGTGCTAATACCCTCAGGAAAGGTATTAATCCTCTTCTTCTCTCCCCAGCTATGCACAGTTTCAAACTTGACATTTGTAAGCAAACAGCTAATTATCGATAACTCTCTAAAAGTCAGGGATCGATTTTAGACTGTTTTTCTATATTATGAACAGGAACCCCATTCCAAAATGATAACAAATCAATATTTTCAGATTCTGAGAAGTGTTGCAGCTTAAGAAAGGTTTAAAGAAAGCTAATCTATAAAAATCATTTCCAAAACATCTTTTCTCTATCTTTTATGAGTGGACCAGACCATTTGAGTAGTGCCACATTTTACACCATCAAAGAATTATTTTTGAGTCTAAAACTACGTTTTCTGTTTGTGCAAGATCCTTCCTCAAATGTCATGGTTTGCAGACAAATATATAATGGTCTGAAAAGATACCTGCTTTATGGAGGTATTTGGAGGATGATTTGGCACCTGTTCGAGAAAAGAACCTCCAATCACTGCAAGAAATGGCTTATAATTTTAATGCCTCCAAAACAAAACTACTTTCTTTTCATCACTTCAAAGAACCTTTTTTGTTTACCATCAATATGGCTGATGTTAAACTCCAGAAGAGTAACACTCTACACGTTGTTGGGTTCACTTTTTCCACTGACATGAAGTGAAGCAATTATATTGAATCAATTTCTCAGTCAACTACTAGGAAAGTTGGTCCACTGTGTTGTGCGAGAAAATTTTTCTCATCAGAATCCATCTTGTGCATTTATAAATCTACCATTCATTATTGAATACTGCTGCCATATTTGATCAGGTGTTTCTGCTGTATGTCTTGAGATTCTTGACAAAATTCAAAAAAGGGTTTGTAAGGCAATCAATCCTGATTTGCCATGTTGACTTCAGTCACTTTCTCACCAGTGAGATGTGGCATCCCTTTGTCTTTTCTTCAAACATGTTAGATTGATAAACATTTTGTATTCGTCCTTTATCTTATCTTGCTTGGGGTGAAATGATTTAAAAAAAAAAAAGAAATTCATTCATGACCCACTGATGTCCATTTTGAGCCTCAGTAATTGCTTCTCCCCAGGTCAGAATATAAGTGCATTGGATGCAGTGTGATGTTTGAAAATAACTTTTTTCTAAAATTTAAAATGTACAACTTACATGCAGGCAAATATAACAATTGCGGTTATTATCATACTGTTAGAAAATGTACAGTGTGCATAGAATTGTGGAAAAACATGTTTTGTAGCTTATTTTCTTATATATGAAAGTCCAGTTATTAAATGATATAGAAAAAGGATGTATCCATTGGCATCTCAAAAATGGTGAAAAGGTGTCAACTAGGAGAGACGATTTTATACTGAATAAAAATGAACAAAGCAAAGAATTGCTGGAAGCTTCAGTTGAGGGGTTTGACATTAGTTGTGCTTCAATAATGTAATGTTTTGAAATATATGAACTCAATTTGTTAGAGATTGACAAAATCTAGGATACTTAGAATCAGAAAGAGAGAAAATTTCTGGGATGTGTAATGAGAAAAGAGTACTTAGAGAATTTGACACTCACAGGACACAGTGGAGGCAAGAGGGACCAGCAAATAACTTATCTAACAAGCTTGCATAAATGGAATGGCAGAATAGGGATTGGGATTGATTTGTATTTTAGGGCTTATCAACCCTTTATAGGTTATTTAAACATATTTCGGATTTGTAAGAGGTTGCTTGTAGTACCAGGTATTTTTAAATGGTCCCCCATCTAGGTACTAGTTGTGCTTGATACTGCTTAACTCTAGTGATCAAACAATAATTAGTGTTTTCAGTGTGACAGGGAATGGAAGAGATGGTAAAGGGACAAACATTGCTTAGAGCTACTAAGGATAAAAAGTTGTGAAGAGCCATGATCGCCCATGTCCTGAAAGGACATGATACATAATAGTGATCGTTTTCATCCTATCTGCTTTAAAAGCCTGCTTTCAATACAAACATATTCTTCATTTAGATTTGTTTAAATAACAAAGGAAATAATTCAATTTCTAAAGAATTAATGGATTTATTTTTAATCCAACATTTTTCTTACTTCAAATGTAATTAAATTAGTGGATATTGTATTTGAAATAGATGCCCCATTTTTATTTTAAACTGTGTACACACACAGGTCACAGGCTGATAGACATACTACACATGATATGATATTACATTACAATGTAATACAGACTGTTTGAAATAAAATTAAAAATGGGATGGCTATTTCAAATATGAGTATCCATTATAATAATGTTTGAAGTAATAAATAAATATATTTATCGGTTTAATACTTATAATATAGATATTGCCTGGGTTTAAACCATAAGTATATACTGAATTATTTCTCTTAGATTCATGATCTGCTAAAATGTGAGAAGAGGATGGTGTTAACTAGTAAGAAGAGACTACGGGCTTGGATGTCCCATGTTAAACTCAGCGTTGTGCCACATCTACCCTCGTGGTGGGGGGGCTAGTAAATATTAACTAGTGAGAAGGGACACTATTGACGAGAAAATTGTTTAGTGCTACATGACCCGTATAAATGTTAATATACAGAAAACTTGTTATATTTATATATAGTTAGGTTTCTTACATTTTGATAATTGTACAAGCATACACACTTTATTTAAAAATCTGTCAACTATACAATATTTATTTAAAAATATTTTTTTCATTATCTCAATGTTCTTTTAACAATATTTTATTGCTGGTTGCTTGATGCATTAGTAATCCTGATAACAAAGTGAGTCAACATGAACATGAGTCCTACCTAATGAGGAAAATGAAACCTGGTTTAATTATTAAAGTGGCGGACTCTCAATTTTCATATGTTTAACTGACAGAACTTTCCTTTTGTCCATTTTACTTAATAACATGCTTGTTGAAGTTTCTGCTGTCAAAGTTTTTGTTTACATGTCAGACATATTCCTGGCTTCTCAGCACATTATGAAGAAAGCAAGATTTTTCCTCCTCTATTAAAGTCACTTTCATGATTTCACTTTTTAATGACAAAGATTTAAACACATTTCTTTTCTTTGCTTTCATATATTTATAAAATCAACAATATGAAAAAAAGGGGATTGTTTTTTGTTTATGTTATTTATCTTTATCAGGAGTGTTTGATCATGACTACTGGGATATTTACATGGAATTTGCTAAGGAAGATCCCAAAACATGTCTATGTCGTTATATAATCCACAACCGGGGAAAGAATCCAGCAACACTTCACATTCTACCTCAAATCTGGCTACGGTATGTATATAAATAAATACCTGTGTTTAATCTGTCCAGTTAAAATAACTGAAATGTGAAGGCAATCACAGAACATAAATACAAGTTTGTGCTATATTGATATGAATTTTATAAGTAAGCCCACAGCAGTAATGGAAAGATAAATAACAGTTATTGGACTTGAGTAACCTATTTTTCTTAAAAAATTGTTTTAAGAGGAAGATTTTATATATTTCAACTGATAGTAACTCTGGCTGCTCGGTCAATGAATGCTAAATGTTTCCTTATAAGTAAATGACTAATATTACCATTTCATTTGAAATTGATTGTGTTATCAATCTTCATAAACACAACACTTGAAATGATATATCATGTGTTAGGCTATATTGCAAATGTTGAATTTTTTTAAACCTCTGAAGTAATTTCTTTTACATATTAAACTGTCGGCTATGAGTAAAGTGTCTTTTGTTTGGGTCAAGTTGAATTTATTGTAAGGATCCTAACAAATCATGAAATGTCTGACCTTTCGTTACTAACTTCCATCTGCAAGTTTTAATCTTTCTCTCTTGATCTGACATTCATCATTCTTTTCACTCTCTCACTCACTCTCTGTTCCTTTCACTCTCTCACTCACTCTCTGTTCCTTTCACTCTCTCACTCACTCTCTGTTCCTTTCACTCTCTCTCACTCACTCTCTGTTCCTTTCACTCTCTCACTCACTCACTCTCTGTTCCTTTCACTCTCTCACTCACTCACTCTCTGTTCCTTTCACTCTCTCACTCACTCACTCTCTGTTCCTTTCACTCTCTCACTCACTCACTCTCTGTTCCTTTCACTCTCTCACTCACTCACTCTCTGTTCCTTTCACTCTCTCACTGTTCCTTTCACTCTCTCACTGTTCCTTTCACTCTCTCACTCACTCACTGTTCCTTTCACCCTCTGTTCTTTTGTTTTTCTCTCACCCTCTGTTCTTTTCTGTTTTTCTCTCACCCTCTGTTCTTTTCTGTTTTTCTCTCATGCTCACTCTGTTCTTTTCTGTTTCTCTCTCACTTTCACTTTGTTCTTTTCTCTCTCTCACTCTGTTCGTTTCTCTCTCTTCAGCTTCTGAATAATACTTGTAGGCCTCAAACAATGCAGTACTAGGCATCATCTTGAACATATTTTATAGCAAATAAATAGTCTTCATTCTTTTTTATACAAAGCTACTCCAAAATGGTGAGGAAAAACCACTTGCCATAAAATATCTGATACAAAGATTTTAATAATGTACTTTTGTTTTTGTTCATGCCTGAGTATAATAGCTCCTTTACCCCGGAGATCTCTCCTACATAGCCTAAGTTTCTTCCCTTTTGTTGATGTATGAAGTGCAAAACCTCATCTACTATGTATGCCAATTAAAATCAACAAATACCTTATATAAATGAAGAACTAATGGATTTTTCCTATTCAAATATGTATTTATCTTTGTTTTGTAAGTGTTTATTTGATTGAGGTATTGCTTTTGAAATGACAGTCTTTTTATCAACCTTATTAATAATAGATAATGTAGGATGTCACACAAGTTGAGGTACATACTTCGGGTTATGATAATTCAAGTCATTTTAAGTAAGAAGTACTCTATACACGTATGTTGTTTTTTGCTTTATTATGCTAAAAAATGAGGTTCTTTATATGTATACTGTAGTGTGTTGCTTGAGTAGCTCTCTGCTGCTTCTTGCCAACCAGTCACCAAAAATTAATGATTTTCAACCTCTTCAAAAAAAAAAAATTAACTGTGTATAATGTGACCCACCCCACTTACATTTTGTGTAAAATAACTGATCATAAAAACTTGCACTATACATGAGGATATACAGTATTTGTCAAAGTTTTTAAAATGAGAAAAATTACTGGATTTATTTTAAAACCTCAAAGAGTATAAATATTTTAGTTATTTTTTGAGTAATAAACTGAAAATCTGTTCAAGAATTCTATTAAAATCGCTGTGAGTTGTTTCCTGACTTTCTTGTTTCTATTTCTCAGAGACACATGGAGCCATTGCAGTTGTGACTCTTGCCACACGACAACAAAGCCAAATATTAAGATTTGTAATGAAAAAAATCAAGTGCGGATCGACTATTCAGAAGGTTTCTTTATTTTGATACATTTCTTTCTATTTCAGAAGCAATAAAGATAATACCCATAAATTGCTGAAGCTGTTGAAATAAATTCAAAGAAGTATTTTATTTTTATCACAATGTGAAAACTAGTACAGTTTATTTTTATCATGTATTTTAAACTCTAAATTCTAGTATCTTGTCTTAGGACTGAACTCTGTATACTGTTGTTAATTCACATTGTGGCAGCTATTTTTTGAATGGCTGGAACAGCATTCTTTTCCTTTGCAGATTGTTTTTGATCAGTGTTGTTTAATTGAATTAATGTTTTTTTTTTTTACTTTTTTTTCTTAGAAAATGAAATGTTATACAAAAACAAGCTGACAATTTTCATGAATACAAATTTGTCAGTTGTTTAGATTGTTAAAGTTAAACTATGAACTATATCTGATTTCTTTTCCCGGACAATATGGATATTTAGTTGTCAGCTATGCTAAATTCAAATGAGTGATTTTACACCATTTTCTAAAACTAGTTCATGATATTTGCTTTTTATGACTTTGAAAATACTATCACTGCCATCAAATATGCAGTATAAAGTAAGATAAAATATCACTAAATGACTAAAATTATTTTATTAAAATATTTGTATTTATTTTTTATTTTATTTTTTTTCCCAAGGATCCTTTTTTGCAAAATTTGACAACAGTCCTACTGGACATCTGCCTGATTTGATATTTACTGAAAATGAAGCTATCACAAGTGCCGACAAAAGTGATGAAGAAGACTATAAAAAAGATGCATTTCACCAATTTGTAATTGCTGGTAAGTACACATTTCTCTGGCTTTGTTACTTGGAATAGAGACATGTTATTCTATGCCATTTGAAAAATTAAACTCACTGAAATAGTTCATATCTGATAATTAAAAAAAAAAAAAACTAATGGGTGAAAATATTATGACAGGTAGCTGAATTATTTTATTGAGGTGGGAACTATTTGAGCCACAAAGGCTATGAATGTGAATGCATCTTAAATGATTGTAGTGAACAGTCAAAGAGAATAGGTGAATCTTTTTTTATGTAAATACATGAGATCTTAATATTTACAAAGCCAATCTCTTCATCCTGTTCACTGACAAAAAAAAAAAAACAACAAAAAACCATAATGGCTTAGAGAATGGTATTCTTATGTATGAAATTCCAAATTGCTTGCTATTTCTGAGAGTTAAAGAAAGCAATGAGGTTTTGAATTCATCTTTATCGTCAGATTTGTAAGAACAAACTGAACAGTTGGTTAATTAGTATCTAAGTTTTATATTATGGTGGTTAGTAGTTATTGTGTGACGATGTTGTAAATGGCCTTGTGTAAGAAGAAGTTGTGGAAACAACTAATATAACGAAGGTAACTCAAATGATTTTCAGTTTTTGGTTGGGATATTTTGAGTTTGTTGGCTATTTCCTGCATTGTAGAATATGGATTATTCTCAAGTAAGTTTTTGATTTGATTATGATTGACTTCAAATCATCTACCAGATTATGAAGCATTGTTCAGTGTGCATGAAACTTAGCAAGCCACTTTTGACATGTTTGATCATTTACAACTACCTTCTATATAAATTAAACACATTTTGTCATATTTTTGCCTTTCTTGAAATAAAAAAAGATATGTCAAAAATGTTGCTTAATTTCTTCCATTTACCATGTTAGAATCAGTAAACAAAAAATACATTAATTTTCACAAAATCTTTTTAAAAATGTGTGTTGACATGATGGCTGTTATTATACAGTCAAAAGTGATGCATTTTGACTGAAGTTACACACACTAAATGCTCTTGATGCTCTCTTATAAAAGAAACTAATAATTCTTTTTGATTACTCAACAGAATAAGGAATACATCTATTTGTGTTTTTTATAACCGAGTATTTTATATACTGGTAAATTTGCTATTTATTTATAATGGGGTGATGAAATGTTTACAGTTCTATCCATCCCCCGCAAAAAACCTGACGAATTGTCTCAGCATTTGCTTTTTGATTGGGTTAAGAACTTTTCCCCATCACCTCATATTTTAGTTGTAGTTTTGTGTTGATTTTTGTACATTTACTTTTTGTTAGAGACATTTTTTTTTTGTTTTTGTAATTTTATTTTTGGTTTTAGGTGAAACAAAATGTGTGAATCCTCATCAGAATGGCACCAAATGTGCTGCTGTTTACTGTGTCACTGTCAACCCTGGTAGCAGCAAACAAATTCAAATGTGTCTCTGGCCAGTCAAGTCCAGTCCCAAATGTAACAACTTCGGATTGCAGTTTGACAGTATTCTTAAAGCTAAAGCAACACAAGCTAAAAAAACTTGCTCAAAGGTAAAAGGAACAAAATTTTATTTTGCTATCCTCTGAAATAAAATTTAAAAAAATATCCAAGAAGACTAAATTTACACGAGAAATTTTTATCAGCATTTTTCTTTTCATTGAAATTCACTCAGTAATACCATAAAGTGTATTTAAACCTCAAGTTGAATATTCCTAATAATTAAATAATAAATTATAATAATATTATTAAATAAAAATTTTTTTTAATAATTTCCTAATAAGTTCGTTTCTTTTAATTTGTTCCATGCTACTAAATGTTGTACTTATCCCGCAGATATTTCTGTCATAGAGGTGCACATTAAAGGGAAGCAACTCTTAATATACAGGGTGGTCGGAAAGTCTTGTCACCCAACATAATATAATTTTCTATTTCAATGCTCTGTTGGGTATTATCAAAGAGAGAGATTTACATGAATAATACAAAAATACACATCATTTGAAGGACGCCGTTTGGAGAGCCTTTGCAACAATCAACAAAGCACAGCTTTATAAAATATCATACATGGTAATACATCATTTTGTGCTATGAAAATGAAGGAGTTCATAGAAACCTTCTCAATGTGTGTCAGTGAAAGTGAATAAACTAAATCCAGTACATGTGCTTTGTATTACTGTATTACTTGTTGTTCTATTGTTCTCATCACTTTTTGGTAGGGGTTGAAAAGACTTTTGGACCACCCTGTATATTGCAAATACACAGTTTATAATTTTGAGAAGTCATCATCCATTAATAAGACGTATTCAGACTTTTGAACTCAATCTTTTTGTTAACTTTTACTGTACTGTTTTGGTTAATTTGACAGGCTACATTTGGTATACAATCTGCAGAAAATAGGATAGTTTCTTTTTATTTCTTTGTTTATAGAAATAGGTTGCGAACAGAAATAGTGTTTAACATACCAAGTAGTTTGGCTAGTTCCTTGAAACATGAGTCACACCAGCGGCAGCTCATATATAGGCACTGTGGAACTGCAGCACCCCCCCTATTTTTACTTGTTATTATCGATAACATTCAATACAATGAGTCTTTTTTTCTTTAATTCTTTCTTTATACTTGTACATTATATAATCCTTATGCTTACTGTCAGTAGCCATCCTTTCGTTGATGAAAAATTACAAAAATTCTTGTATGGAACTGTGTGCTTCACAGTTCCTGTAATATGGTGTTTATAAGTAAGTAAAATAGAATTTTTTCGTTTAGGATTTTATCAAGTTTATGTATAAATTTTCTTGTTATGTGTTTGTTTCATTTTACACAATATTGAAACAATGACTAAAAATTTTCTGCAGCAGCACCCCTACTAATTTTACCTATGAGCCGCCACTGAGCCACACAGATGATACTTGCTTGTATAACATAGGTAATTCCCCCCCTGCAAAGAAAATAAAACTTATACAATATTGAAATCTACACTAACCAGACTTAATGTGTTCAACAGAATAATACAGTTCAATTTTCTAATTGTCCAGCAATGTTCACGATCTGTTTTTGAACTTCACCTCAGACCCTAATACCTGAGCGTGGTAATGGCTATATGACTCATATTGCTGAGATATATATATATATATATTTAGGCAGCATATCTTTATTCAAACATATTTCATTGAATAATATAGACATATTGTAACTATTTATTTTTATATTGATTCTATCCAATTCTCTAATCAGTTTCTTAATATTAAGATGAAATTTGTCAAGGAAGCACCGTAGTTTATCATAAGTGTAGTCGCAACGTATTGAAGTGCATATAACAACAATATTTACATTATTTGGACTATTATCCTCATCTTTGTCGCCATATTTATCACAATGTTTCGGCTGTTGTACGCTCCGGCCTTCTTCAGGTGGTTGGAATTTCGAACTGAACCCTTTATTTCGCTCACTGGGGTAGACTGTTTTAGTTCCATGTGCCATGTTTGATGGATGTCAGTTATCAGTTATCTCCTGCTAATTTCCCTCTTTTGCAAGAAATTCCATAACTACAATGGATAAATTAAAAATTTTAAAATAACTATAACAGAGTGTGTTTGCGTTGGCTTTTTATAATGGAATGCAGCTTTTATCGCAGTTACAATAAGTTTGTAATTTACTCCTGATGATATTGGAAACTGAAAGTACTTGGCCTAGAAAAAGACTATGGTGTCATCCTTGATGAATTTCATCTTAACATCAAGAAACTGATTAGAGAGATGGAAAGGATCAGTATAAAAATAAACACAATATGCCTATTCAATGAAACATTTTTTGAATGAATATATATATAAATAAAATTTAGTGGGAAAAACTATGTCAAAGAAAGAGTTTCTGTATGACACATTTAATCCTTTAGGAGTAGAGTGATGTTTACATTGATGCGGCTATATCACACTTTGTCATAGTTTTTTTGCATCTAAAATTTTCCCAGATATGTAAAAATTTATATATTGTTTACACACACATCTATATATATATATATATATATATATATATATATATATATATATATATATATATATATATATATATACTTAGATTGACACAAGATTTACATCAGATTGGTATTTATATTTTGAAAGCTAAATGATTTTTTAGAAATGCATTAAATAAGAGAAATATATATATATATATATATATATATATGAAGTAAGTAAACAAATGCTAAAATAGTTGTTTAAAAAGTGCTCAATATCAAGTAAGAAAAATCAAAACTCTAGAGCGATTCAGTATCCTAAAATAATAAAATGCTGAAAGGAACACTACTGCAGTTTTGACTGCCTAGTCTCATCAGCAAAATAATTACAGGCAACACAATAAGAAATTAAATTTCTTAATGCAGCACCAAAAGTAATGAGGGGGAGGAGAAGTGAAAAAAAAAATTGTTTTTCCAACTTCATCTGGTCGGGTATTCTAAATGATAAGGTATGATTATACCACCACTTTTTAAATTAACCCTCAGTGCAACCAATGTATGTTTTTACACTGCCATTGTCATTTTCTACCTTGGCACAATAAACTAATAAGATAAACTAATAAGGGACAATTATATTTTTTCTGTAATTGCAAAGAACCTTAGTTCCACTCCTCACATGTTCTTCAAGATTCAAATTTCTTTTATTCACCATTTTAATAATGTTACCTAGGTTGCTAGAGTAATTGTAGCTCAATTTGACTGTGCAGTGATGAAATAATTTGCACAACATGGGCGTTTTTTGGAAATGCTTATTTAAAAGGCTAAAAAATATTTTCCCTTACATTTGGCTCTTGCCTGGCAGTTGAGCACTATAATTGTTCTGTGTAATTTTCACAACACTACTTTTTCCTTTTAGATTTCTCTCAGAAATAGATACACATAGGCACTGAGGGCCAATTTAAAAAGAGGTGGTATAATTAATTATACCTCATCATTTAGAATACATGAACACAGGTTCATTACAAAGCTAGCTAACTATTGGAATTTTAGAGAAAAAAATGTAAGAAACCTGGTCATTAAATGGAATATTTTAAGAAAAGTAAAATCTATTAAAGTTAATAGCAACTCCTGTAAGCTGTCTCAGAAGGAACATTCAAGAGTGGTGCTGAGTTGTTAAATGAAAGGTCCAAAATTATTGTCAAATGTAGGCACATGAGGAAGTTGACTTTGGGATTATATGAATCCTGGAAAAACAATTTTTTTCATTCCTCCTCCCTCTCATTACTTCCAGTGCTGCATTAAGAAATTTAAGTTCTTGTGTTATTTGTAATTATTTTGCTGAGTTAACCACCTGATGAGACCTTTGTGGTTGAAACAATAGGTTGACTTGTGGTTAGCCTCAATAGATGTGTCGGGTTTTTTTTCCAACATGGAATTCAAATGCTGCCAGAAAGATGGGTAAAAGTAGTGGCTAGCAATGGACAATATTTTCAGTGACATGTGTTCTATTTAGCATTTTATTATTTTAGGATATATATATATATATGTATAAGAACCTTGAATAAGTTCTCACTGTTTTCCAGCAAATGACATTCCCAGAACTGCATGTGTATAGTCTCAGATGGTAACACATTTATAAGGAAGTACTATAAGCAAGCTTGAAATTCAGTGTATGCCATTTTGCTGAAGTGTAAACAACTTTGTTTTTTATAGCATTAAACATGTCAGATTTCATGCCAAAGAAAGTGTATTTGCGGGGGAGTTTACTACACTACTTTATTCAAAAGAAAGCTGAAGCACACAGAATTCTTGTTGAGACTTGCGGTGACCATGCTCTGTCAGAAACAACATGTAGAGATTGGTTTAGACACTTCAGAAATAATGATTTTGATGTTGAAGATGATGAACACCCTGGTGCACTGAAAAAGTTTGAAGATGAAGAATTGGAGGCATTATTTCATGAAGACTCATGTGTGGTGCAAGCTGAACTTACAGAATCATTAGGAGTTGATCACACAACTGTTTTGAAACATTTGAAACATTAGGAATGATTTAAAAACAAGGATATTGGGTGCTGTACAAGTTGAAGCTGAGAGACGTTGAATGGCGTCTTGTCACATATCAACAGTTGCTTCAATAGCAGAAAAGGAAAGGTTTTTTGCACTGTATCATGACCAGCGATGAAAAGTGGATGCACTATGATAATCCTTAGCATAGAAGATCATGGGGTAAGCCCAGCCATGCATCAACATTGGTGTCAAAGCTGAACATCCATGGTTCGAAGCTTCTGCTCTGCAGTTGGTGGGATCAACTGGGTGTAGATTATTATGAGCTGCTCAAACCAACTGAAACTATTACGGGAGATCACTATCAACTACAATTGATGTGTTTGAGTTGAGCATTGAAGAATAAATGGTCGCTATATGAGCAGAGACATGACAGTAATTTTGCAATGTGACAACGCTAGGTCTTGTGTTGCAAAATGGGTGAAAACCTACTTGGAAATGCTTAAATAGGAAGTTCCACCCCCACCTGCCATATTCACCAGACATTGCCTTGACCAATTATCACTTGTTCCGATTGATGGCACATGGCCTAGCTGAGCAGCACTTTCATTTTTATGAAGATGCCAAAAAATAGGTTGACTTGTGGTTAGCCTCAATAGATGCGTCGTTTTTTTTTCCAACATGGAATTTAAATGTTGCCAGAAAGATGGGTAAAAGTTGTGGCTAGCAATGGACAATATTTTCAGTGACATGTTTCTTACTAATTTTTGTAAATAACACATTACTTTTCCTGAAAAATCAGCCAGAATTTATTCAAGGTCCTAATATATATATATATATATATATATATATATATATATATATATATATATATAATTATAATTAATTGATTTAAAATATGTTTTTTTCGCTACACAGTTCTAACCGTGTTTCAAAAATGGAAGTTAAAGCCCCGAATTTAATTTTGTAATTAAATTAAAGACATTAGTTCCATTTCATCCTTTAATTTAATTACAAAATTAAATTCGGTGCTTTTAGCTTCCATTTTTGAAACATGGTTAGAACTGTGTAGCAAAAAAAAACATATTTTAAATCAATTAATTTATAATATTAATGCTCTGTAAATTTACATTGAGCACTATTTTGTAAAAATAAAAATATCTATAAGAACACCGGATTATATATCTTACTGTTCTTTCTTTTTATTTATATACATACATATATATATATATATATATATATATATATATATATAAACTGCACATATAAACACAAGTAAATGTAATAATAATAATCAGCAACAAATAATTAAAAAATAAATAATGAATAAAACGTTAACAAACACCATTAGAAAATAGCTACAAATAACCACATGTGGATCCACAATTATTTCTATTCAATAGCCTCTAGAATAATTTGAAGCATAACTTTAATAATAATACAATAGAAATTACTACCCATAATGCACCACAAACCAGCATATATAAATAGTCAGGCTAAAACACAACACACATAGCCTGAAGATTGCATTTAAGCATGAAATAGACTTGGTGTTGACCTAAGCGTCTACTCTTATATTTATATATGCTTCATCTCTGATATTGAGCACTTTTACCCATAAATATAACATACCTTAAAATTATATTTTTATCATATTTTATATATATATATATATATATATATATATATATATGCACACACACACAAATGAAAAACTAAATGAGTTAGTATATTAATCTCTATTTCTTTTGTTTGCCACAAATTTCTACTTTCTTTCTCTTTCTTTATCAACTGCACACCAGAAGAAGGCTGTAGAATAGATCTGCTGAAATTTAACAACATACACAATGAGTTCAATAGTGTGGATGACTCTTGGAAAGATATATTGTAAATATGTAATTGCTATGCTTTCAAAAATCAATTAAAAAACAGTAATTAAATGTTAAATGTTTTCTTTTTGTATAAAATGAAAAAAATATTGTCTAAACATTAGTGTATAAACCACAAAAATCTTTTGATCACTTTAATGAAATGTCTAGTAGTTGATTATAATTTAGTAACCAATAACTAAAGCTTAATTTGTAACTGCTTTTAAGAGAAAAAAAGAAGCAAAATATTAGTAGCATTTGCTTCTCAAATTCTATTGTCTCTTTTTAAAACACTGGATTTTGGTTTGTTAAATTCTCATTTTTTGAAAACAAACTTTTTTTTTTTTTTTTTTTTTTTTAAAATCTAGTTGATGCATCCCAGTTGGAGTGAAGAGGAGAAGAATGTTGCCCAACAGGCTTATGCTGGTCTGCTGTGGAGCAAACAGTTTTACTGCTATGATGTCCAAAAATGGTTCAAAGCTAACTGCTCAAGTAAATCTTAAGTTTCTTATATTTTCGCAAAGGCATTTTAATTTTGCTTTTGATTTCTACACTTTGATCATTTAAATGAAATTCATTTCAATTTGAATTGGTTAAGCGTAATTTAACATGAATCTCGAAGTTTTTCTGGTTAACGAAAACCAAATGCAATATTTTAATTTGGTTTCATAGATTTTATCCCTTTGGATAGTTCATAAAAAATTGGTTTAATAAATTTTTGTACATTTTAAAATTTTTTCTTCTTTAAACTTAATTTTAAGTCATGTTTTAGAAAACTTTGAAAATATTTTTTGTTATATATTTGCATTGTAAGCTTTGGATTTTGTTTTGTTTTGATGCCAAGTTATAATTTTAAACTATTTGTTTTTTATAAAATACAGTTAAGCAGTTTTAAGAATATCAATAGTTTTTTTTTAAATAATGTTAATTTGAACTTTCTCTGAATCTTTCAATGTAGATTATCTTTTATTAGATTTAAGACTGTACTAGACGTGCTGGTAGCAGAGTGGTTAGCAGTACGGAAAGTGGAATCAGCATGTCATATTCAAATTTTGTTGTGTGAATAACTTTGAATCCACAACCTCTCTGCTAAGAATTAAATAGCAGGGCAGACTGAGCTCAGACTGATTTGCCTTGGTTAGCAATCAGTCCTGGAGAAAGACAACTATGAATTTAAAACCTGTTGGGCATGAGACTGGCAACTTCACCCTGTATAGACCTACTTGTTATGGAAACCACAGCAGCAACACCTACTATGGTGAGGCAGTGGTGCTATACTTCATAGCAGAGTCTAATGGTCCTATGAAGGAGGAGGAGGAGGAGGAGGAGAGAAGCTTCTACTAGTATCAAAATCACTCTATAGAACTATAACATAGGCATAAAGTCTGTACTAAAACTGTCTGGCAGAAAGCTATATTTATGAAGCTAAGATAACTTGTGAGATCAGAGCAAATACCTATGCGTTTTGAATAAGTGCTCTTGAATTTTGTAAGTAACATAAGGAACACAGAAATCAATCAATTTAAGAACTTCTGATAATTGAACTTAATACTTTTGATTAGGTTTATGCATGAAAGTTGATCCTAACATGTAAGCAATGTGAGGTACCAGCCCATAATAATTCATGTCCGTAATTGACTGCCATATTATTATTATTTCTTTGAATTTTGCAATGTATATAACATTTTCTATATGCACTTGTATTGTTTCCTAAAGACCTGTCATCTATTTGTTTTTGAAGTTGATTGGGATTCAGGCTCTGAACTTTCTGATGAGGAAGCAGATGACATTGAAGAGAAAGAATGTTGTGGTTTGGTTGATCCCCACAGCAAGGAGTCAATTCAGGCAGAATCTTGTTCAGATGAAAATTCCTTGTGTAAGGTTTCTGATGGAAATCTTAAGCAGGAAATTGTTGACAGTTCCACAAGTTCTGATGAACATCTAGAAAAATCTGAAAATAAAGAATCTGGTAAAAGAAAAAAAAAAGAAAAATCATTGTACTTGTCTGCTTTGACAGTTCTCTGCCTTCTTAACCCATGCATGATAGATATTCTCTTATGACTAAAATAGCTTGAGAAGCACAGAATTCTTTCCTGCAACTCAAATAAAGATGCAGCCATACTAACACTGCCTTATTTCACTTTCAGAATAATTTCCTTTTAACCTATATACAAATACTATTCATATTAGTACTTCCTTTTGCACTTTTTCTTTCAGATTCAAATTAATTTTCCTTAAAACTTACATAATGCTGTGAGGATTTATTCATGAATTCTTGCTTTGGGTTTAAGTGAATTACTGATGGGATTAGTAGATTAAATACTTCTGGTTCTGGTGTCCTAAAATAAAAGTATAAGAGAATAGAAAGGCTGTAAAGATCTTTCTCTTTCACCTTTTATATATATAATAAAATACAGTTTTAATGTATGCCATATTTGTGGGTTAAAGTGTTCAATATCAGGGATAGAGTGTATGTAAATATAAAAATGGACATTGAAGTCAACGCCCAGAGATGACTGTCTGTTTCATGCTTAAACGCAATTGTCATATATATATATATATATATATATATATAAATAATATAGACAAGTTTTGTCTATTTATTTTAAGTAAGTTCCTTTCATATTGTCTGATAAGCTTAATAACATTATCATTGAAAGACAAATTGAAATCATCATATTGATACATGTTTAAATCCTCTCTAAGCTTTTGGCTTACATAAGCCATTATCAAAGATGACAATTACATTTCAATATATCAAACAATACATGGACAAAACAATAATGATAGTCTGTTTCTGTTGCATGAAAAATTTCAAAGCAACAACAAACTCATGTATATGAGATGCGGAAGCAAAAATTACATCACAGCACATGATGTCATACATGACCACGTGAGAGTGAAAACGAGAAGTATTAAGTATGGGAAGCTGTTGGTATAAAACAATGGCTTCTATTATCAATTATAGGCATTTAAAAATATTTGTGGAGATTTCGTAGTTTATTTTGTTCAGGTAAGGTTTCAACTGTTTTATGTATATAGCTTCAAGAATTTTTATTACAAAAAAAAATGGAGATAACGCATGATTAGTGACTGGCTTGCCATGTTGCAACTGTTGTTAGGTGGAGGGAAGGCAACAGTTATCACTTACAAAACCCTGCAAATGATTTTTAACTTTATCAAGGCTGGAAAATGAGGATTGAGTACCCTCAGTCAAGATATGGCAACAACCAGGTAAGAAAACAACTTAGAAGGCAAACACTTGGCTATAATTTCAGTTTTAGTCTTCTTTCATAAGTGGCACTGAAATTCCTTTCTTTTGCTTGTTACTCTGTTAACAATTTATCACTATTGCCAACCCAACCATATTTTGGTTCAAAAGCAACCTCATTGCAAACTGAATTCTTTATACTTAGTCTTGAACTTTGTAAACAATATTTTTATATCTTTGTTATTCCTATTGCAAAATGAGAGCTTTTTCACTTCCATACTGCATCCCAAATGAATCTAGTAAGAGAAGACAACGGTTCTATTTTCCCTTCAGAAGCTGATATACTGATGATAAAAGGTGGGGGTGGCTATGCCAATGACATAAGTATTCAAGTGTTCCAAGAAATAGGACTCAAAATAAACTTTTCATAAACAAACTGTGATCTGGAATTGGAATGAAAGCAAGTGATAGCATATATCTGAATTTGTCATAAAAATCCAGCATGTGTAATTAATAAATGCCAAACACTTTAAATACGTTGGTATATGGAACAATTTTAACAAATTTAGTACGGAAGAAAAGGAAATCAAGCTCTGTGATGGCAGTAGTTTCACCCAATTCCACAAATTGCTACAGAACTAAATATTAACCTGAAAACTTGAGTTAATAAATAGCCTTGTCAGTTCATATACAAATGTCAGCTGCTTTCTAAGGTCAACAGTTAATATGGCTTTGAGCAAATGAAACCTGTAGGTCTCGGTAAAGACCATCTTTCTTTTTGACTGATGCTACAGAATCACAAAGAATTGTGCCAATTAACAGAAACCACATCACTTGAGGACTACCAACAGCAGCAACAATTAAAATGGATATCACATGTAACCTGAAGAGAAAATAATAACATAATAAAGATGTTGACATTCCAACAAATTTCAAATAAAATGTTAGGAAGAGAACCTGCATCAATACTGGAAGGAGTGATAACAGCTACTGGACTTGAGAAACTTATTTTCCTGAAAAATTGTTTTAATAGAAGGATTTTGTAAATTTAAACTGAAAGTATCACTGGCTGTTCAGTCAATTAATGTTGAATGTTTCCTTATAAGGAAATGGCTAATATTGCCATTACAATTACCATTTTCTTAGTTGCTGGAATTTTGTTTTTGAATTTTAAATGCTCTTCTTACTTATGTATTCTTCAACTATCAGTCTTTTAACACTAGTCAAATTCCAAATACCATTAAAAAAACATCATAGACTCCTTTATCCTGGCCATAATTATTATATACAAGTGAATGATGGAAAATTATTTAAATTCAAACGCATAGTATAGTATGGCTGGCTGTCCATATCTGAATATAGCTGTCTACAAGTGTGGCTAGCTAATCCCTGTTGTAGACACCAGCTCTAGACATATTTGTTTGTTCAATACCCACACAGTCAAACTGTGTTTTTTATACTACAATTATCCTAAGCAGATCTTAGTTACAGTTTCTGGGAGAGAGTGCATAATATGTTGTGATCAACAGTTTGAATTAGTCCAGCAGGCTCAAACTGATCCCTTGTCCCAATTAATTGTAACTTTGTGCTAGAACAACAATTGACAATGTCTGAACAGTTCTGTCTTCCCAATTTCACCCATAAGGTTTGGGTCACCTCGCAACACTGGGATCATCTCCCCAGGTTGATATTATCAAGAAGTCACCTCCCTAAAAAATTAACCATGGTAAGATTTGAACCCAGATCACATGATTAGAATACTAATTTTCTAACCACTTGGTCACATACCCACATTCAAACATATTAAAGTATAAAATTGAAAGCTTGGCTAAGTGAGAGATTTGTTAATCTAAGATTTTAAGAGAAAATCTTTTGTTAGTTTTTATAACTAATATAGAATTGTATTTTCACAAAAACTCTACTCATAAATTTTGCATTTAGCAATTGTTGTGAATTATTTTTTGGATATTATACAACTTTGCATTCATCATAATTTAAATCATATAAAATTTATCTCCATTAATATTAGAAACTGTTTGATTTATACTGATTTTGGGATGAGAAATTTCTGAATATTGTTGATCATCAACTCCAGAGTTGAATCTTAATTTTCCTGCTTGTTGTCTTCATTGCTAATTCCATTTGTTAAGACCTTCAATTTAACTAAACTACCCATTTATGCTTTGCATTTTCCCATTAAAACCTTTTCTGCTATTCTTATGTATTTATTTTGCTCAACTACTTTTATGGCATGCATTTATACTAATATTATAAATCTTGGTAGTAAATATAGTTAAGGCTATATTATTAGATATTTTTTATTTTGTAATTAATTGGGTGTATGTAGACAAAGAATATATGTATGTAAGGATTTTCTTTGCAAATTCATCTCACTGTTTATCAGCAAAACAAAAGACCTGATAATATCTATTTTGCAGAAACTACTGAAAATTGAATAAAAAATTGATAATTTCAGTGACTCATTCCTAATATTCAATTTGAAAATAAAATTCCATAAGATATTGCAGATAAAAGTCTAAAAATTATTATTTTTGTCTGAATACAAAAAAGAAATGTTTTCAGTGTGATTTGAACCTCAAAATTGGAATATGGTCATCAAGTCTGATATTTAGCCAGTCTTTTGTCACTCCTTATTTGACATCAATTTAGTTGAAAGTTTGGATATTTTAAAAATATTGACATTTAGATAATTTAGATTTTATCTTTGTAGTCAATTAAAAGTAAATTTGGTCATTAATAAATATTTCAACTGTATCATGTTCTTTCTTATTACTATAAACATTATTTTTAGTTCGTATCCTGTTTTTTTTTTACTTTCTTAAACAGTGAAATTAATAACCAGCTTAAATTAAGAAGTTCGACTAAAGAAAAAATGGAAATCCAACAGGAATTGAATCTGCATCTTTTTTTTTCCATCAGGGAAACTACTTTTTGAGCCAAAGTGTATCTCTACCTATTCAGCCATGTAGACCAGCTTGACAGGGCAAGTTTGGAATTACCTATTTAAGCAAAGCACTTGGGACTTCTGCTAGCTTTGTTTTGTTATAAAAAAACAGGAACAGCAACTCAAATACCTGTACCCATTGAAAATAATATTTATAGTAATAAAAAATAAAATTGGATAAAAAAAATCCTTTCAAAAATTGATGTATAATGTATGAGGTTTTTTATAGTTTGGATTGTTTTTGTTTTGTTTTTTTTTGTTTTAATCTTTTTAAAAAAAATTTGGGTATAAAGGTGAATTACAAACTGAACAGAGTTGTGGGAATGAAAGCCTTTTTTTATCAAATTTCTTGCTCTTCTTTCCTACTTACTTGAGACTTGGCTCACAGCTGACCTGCTTCATGCAGGTTCAGGCCTATTCACTTTATTATTGAAATAGAAAATGCTATACTCTTATTAAATCCATCTTTCCAACAGAGTTTCTCTTCATATTGTACTGTACAGGGAGGAGATCTTCTATTGGGAAACAAACATACAAAATTGAACATAAAAGAAACAAAGATTGGTTATTCCATCTGCACAACTGTGATATAATCTCCATGCCTGACAAGTGGGAATTCCCTTGGGTAAGAATTGTTTTCTTTTTTCATCCCTTACAGATCAGTATCTATCTATCTATCTATCTATCTATCTATCTATCTATCTATCTATCTATCTACATATGCTCTAAATTATATATCTTTTCCTCACCGCTCAATGCTACTTAAAATTTCATGTACATATCGATCGTCAGGCACAAATTAAAACTGACTGTAGTATAAATTTTATCTTTATTATTTTACATTGAGCATTGTTTTATTATTTCTATCAGCATTGATTGTGTGCTATTATGTATCGTGTATAGTGGCTGTCGACTCACAAAGCAAGTATGACCATCACTGACATGTCCAGTTCATCAGTTAAACATCCCCCACAACACTGAATTCATTGGTTGTGTGAATGACACTGGCTCATAAAGCCAGTCATCAATCTGCATTTCTTGTTTATTTATATGGCATATCAAATCATCTCCAGGTGGTGGATATTGACTTTGAACATCATCACTTCCAATGTATATTTTTATCTGCTTTGTCAGGCCTGACCTGGACTTGCACACCCTAGTGAATTTTGGGCATTCAAAGCATGCCATTACAAAATCATCATATGCAATAGACTGTTGGTGTTGGTGTGATTTCTGGTGACTGAGCAGACCTGCCCTGGACAGAGATATCTGATTGCATTGGGCACATGGCCAAGTTGGCACCTCATGGCAATTCAGGGATCCGTTCCGAAACCCTCTCTTCAGTTTTCCATATTTTTGTAATGCCTCATAGAAGTTCTTGACACCATCAGCAATACCAGCTTTCCAGGAAACCTGTTCTTCAGCTAGAGTCTCCCAGTTATCCAGATCAATATTGTACTTGTATAATGACTCTTTAAGGCAATCTTTGTAATAAAGTTTTGGCTTGTGCTTGCAGTCTTTTTTCCATTAGCAATTCTCTGTATATTAATTGTTTTGGCATTGTCATCTGCCATATGAATAATATGGCCTGTTCATTGCAATCTGTATTTGTCTATAATTGCTTCCACAGAGAATGAATTGGCACTTTGTAGAACAACAGTATCAGGTGTGTGAGACATCCATTGGATTTCAAGCACAGACTGAAGGTAGCATTGATGAAAACGTTTCAGTTTCTTCAGATGTCTGCGATAGACTACCCATGTCTTACATGAATATCTCAGAGATGACGTAACGCATTATATATTTTAATTTTTGTCTGCTTTTATACCCTTCTGACACCAGACATGGAACTTTAGTGCTGCAAATTGCATCGGAGGCCTTCTTAATCCGTAACGCTTTCTCATCATCAAGGGAGCAGTGGCAGTTGAGTGTTCTACCAAGGTATACAAAATTATCTACTACCCCAAGTCAACTACCATCAACATAAATTGATGGCTCTTTATACTGAATTTCTCAGACAGGTTGATACATCACCACTGTCTTGTCAAGGCTGATGGACAGTCCAGAAGCCTTACATGACCCTGATAGTTGATCCATGAACTCCTGTACGTGCCGAATTTTGTATGCGACTGAGTCCCAGTCATCAGCATAGAGAAGGTTGTGCACTAAAAATTATTTTTTCTTTGCTGCAAACCTACATATGTCGAAAAGCTTGCCAGTTGACCTGTAGCTTATCATAATACCATTGTGGCAGTCCCCAAACGCATCAAGCAGTACAATTGCAAAGTAGATAGAAAACAGTGTAGTAGCCAGAAGATCTCCATGCTTCACTCCTTTTCAACCTTGATGTGCCCTGTAAGCATACTACCAAAACTGATGCAGGCTTACATACTGTTATGAAAGGACCTCAGAATCTTGAGAAAGTGGTGGAGAAAGCCCAATTTTGAGAGGATTTTCCAAAGAGCAGCACGATTAACAGTTTCAAAAGCCTTCCTCAGATCTACAAATATTTGATAAAGGTCCCACTGTTATTCACAGCTCTTTTCCTGGATTTGTCATGCTGTGAAAATCATATCTGTGGTCACTCTGTGTTGATGGAAACCACATAGTGACTCAGGCAGTATATTGTCAACTATTTTTTGGTTTAATCTTAATAGGAGAACAGAAGCTAAGATCTTACCTGCCAAAGAAAGGAGAGCAATCCTTCTATAATTACCACATAATTCCCGGGCACCTTTACCCTTATATATAGGTATTATTGTTGCATCCACCCAATCTTTTGGCACTTCTCCATCTATCCAAATTTTTACAATAAGATCATGCATAAGTTGACTTAAATGTGTTCCACCATAATTGAATCTCTCAGCAGGAAGGCTGTCAACAGCCCTGCCCATGTTGTGTTCCTCCATGCCACGCAGAACCTCGCCCAGCGATGGTTGACTGTCAAATTCTACCACTATGAATCTTTGTTGTATTTTCTCAAGAACCTCGAGTTCCACATTTGAAGGCCTATTCAGTAGCCCATCAAGTGTTTCTTCCACCTCTTGGCCATGCCATTCATGTCTGTGGGGAGATTATTGCTGTCCTTTGTCCTGAGAGGAACAATCTTGGTGAATCTGGAACCAAATACTTCATCAAGTAGTACATCTGCTTGATATTATTTGAATTTGCTGCATTCTGGATTTCATCTACTACCTCTGACCAGCATTTTTCCTGCATAGTTCAAAGAGCACATTTAATTCTGCTTTTGCAGCTTTAAACTCCTTGCACAGTTTACTGTGCTGTTCTTTGTACAGGCCTTTTTGCAACATCACTTTGTATCTGATTCTTTCTTGTAATGATCTCCTTGATAGCATCATCATTTTCATAATACCAGTCTTGATGTTTAGCTGGCATTTTACCCAGAACTTCCTCAGCTGCTTCATATATATTCTTCAAAGAGTCCCAGGAAGATGTATCATTGATTTGTGTAAGTTGTTGCTTTAGTGACTCCTGTGTTTCCAGGGAATGCAGTTTTGTGACATTCATACGTGCAGGAGGCTTTCCATTGTTTTGTCTAGTTGCTGGTTTAAGAACAAAATTCATTTTGGCCCTCACTAGGGCATGATCAGTCCAACAATCTGCACCATGCATAGATCTAACAATATGGACATCCTGCATATCTCTCTTATGGACAATGACATAATCATTGAGATTCCATAGATGTGAACAGGGATGCATCTACTTAGTAACATGATCACCCCTGTGCTTGAATTGAGTGCTGAAGATAAAAAGATTAAACTCGGGGCATAGTTCAAGAAGCATTAAAGCATTGGTGTTGATTTTCCCAATGCCATATTTCCCCAAATTACTCCAGGTCTCCCAATTTGCACCAACTTAGGCGTTGATGTCACCAAGGAGGAAAACCTTGTCATCTTTTGGATTCATGTAGTGTATACTTTTCAAAGATACATAGAATTGAGTCTTTAAAATGTCAGTACTGTCCATTGTTGGAGCGTGGGCACTAATGATTGTAGCATATCGTGATCTATTCAGATGTAGGTGAAGGGTCATTAAATGCTCACTGACTCTTTTAGGAAGTTCAGCAAGTTTTGGTACAAGTGTGCTACGTACAGCAAAACCCACACCAGATACTATATTCTCCTCAGTGCACTTTCTTTTCCAGAAGAAAGGGTAGCCACCTCCAACTTCTTGAAGTTGTCCATCACCAGCTAAACGAGTTTCCAAGAGAGCAGCTATATTGATAGAATATTTCTCTAGCACCCTAGATACCAGAGCTGTTCTCCATTGAGGAGCAGATCCTCTAGGATTATCTATGAGAGTAGGTAGGTTCCAACAAGATAGCTTCAGTTTCATCATTTTTTTACTTTTGTTCAGGCACCAAATAGACATCTGCCAGCCACGCTATACTGGCCAGATGAATGAGACAGGCAATTTTTGGGTGTCCATTTTTAGACCCTTCCAGCAATCTTCTGGTGAACAGTGAACTCCTTAAAAGGGCTGCACAGACACCCTTGGAAGAACTGAAAGCCACCCCTGTCTCAATAAAGGTGAGCTATCGAATTTATATGTACCCAGAGGTCGCCAAATGTGCAGGTCAGCAGCTACGCACTTCCAGCCCATTAAACCTGTATGTTTCACTGCATCACCATTGGACTTAGAAAAAAAATCCAAAAAAACTATAAACTGGCAAGTTGTCAGTAATGCTCGTGTGGGTTCAAAGGTAGGAAGTAGCTTGCACAGCACTGCATTGACCCTCACCATGAAGTCACATTGCCCAGAGACAAGTAGTTGAGAGATAGCTAGTGAGGCCATGAGGCAGGTTTTCTATCTTTCCTTCTCCTAGAAGACTGCCAGAAGGCAGCCTCCTTCCCTCCTCACTATACACACACACACACACACACACACACACACACACACACATATATATATATATATATATATATATATATATATATATATCTGCTTGTATAGATCATTCACCTAGTAGTGTGGTGCAAACACTACCACCCTTGGGATTTAGCCCACCTGCTGAAGCGATTTACATGTTATGGCACGTGGAGATTTAGGGGATGGATAAAGACCAGTGTTGCCTGTTCACCTTAAAAATAAGGTGCAGCAGCCGAGCAACAAAGGTACTACTTCTCCCCACTGCCGCTACACACATAAAACATATTTTACATTGGATGTTGGAGTAAAATCGGCATCAATGTGCCAATATATTGCTATATATACTAAAGTATAAAATTATTATAAAGTACAAGAGAAAATTTTATTATTATTATAATCATTATTATTATTGTTGTTGTTGTTTAAAAATATTTGAAAGCTGAATAATAAAACAAATTGTCTAGTAGTAAAAACTAAACAAAACAACGTTATAACTGGGAATGCTTTTCCAACAAAATTGAAAGTATGCTACTTTACTATTAATAAATAATGTAAATTAATAAAATGTAAAGGAATAAAATTTATACCAAATGTTATTAAAAGAATCTTGGAATATAAATAATAATAAATAAAGAAATCGTTGATAATGAGCCAATAGTCAAAGATAAACAAAATAAACATTATGACTCTACTTTCATCCAATTTCGAAAATTACGATCCCTTTAGTAAAGAAAA